GGTTGTTTTTCAATTGTTGGGGTAAATAATCAACTTAGTTTATAACAGTGAGTTGTACATAAGTTTAAAGTGTTCTTAGTTGAAGGGTCAGACCTAACTTTACTCTTCCAGCACTATGGTGGAAGATTTATGTCCCATGAGGGGTATTTGTCTCTTACCCCACTATCTTTTCATTTTCTGGAAAATCTTATTTCCTTCAGACTGACTACCTGTATCATAAAGCCCCTTGGGTTCATGGCCTTCTGTTAGCTTTTCTCTCTTCCTCCTTGAGAACCAGGTACTACAGTTCTCTTGCCTGGTACTGGGATGCCATAGACTTGAGACTGTGCTCAGCTGTTGTTTCTTCATCATGCTAGGTGTAGGTCTTCTGCTTGAGGTTCAAGGTTTCCTAAGGCTGAGCTCTGGGTTGGGCCACACACTGCCATTAAATTTACGAGGGGGTCTTACTACTCTGACGGGTTCCAGTTTAGTATAGCACATGGGGCTCCTGGGGACCCACACTATCTAGCTCTCTGGCAGTCCCTCCTTCATCAGTTTCTTCTACTCACCCCTCAATTCTGCCTCCTTTCCCAGAAGGCAGAGGCTGGATGCATAGAAGAGTCAGTGGAAGATTGGCTAGGCATGCTTCTCCTTCAGCAGTATAACTGCTAAAGATTGATAAAGTCTACTTTGAAGCTCAAAAACCCAGAAGAGGCCTCCTTGTCATTTTTTCTGTCTGTATAGTATATCACAAAAGCAGAACATATGTTGGATCTTGACTGGTAGGGGAAGGTAATGGGTACATAGAAACACAGGTTGGCAAAGCAAACAAGTGAGCATCTTGATTAAACACCTTGGAATTTTCTCCTAGTGCAGTTGCAAAGAATACAGGTAGCATGCTCAGCACAGATTATATTTGATAATGTGCCCCTGTGTTTCATTATCTTGAAAATGCCAGCTGGGTTTATGTTGGGAAGCAGACAGAAGAAAGGACAGAAGGCTGTTAGGGAGGCCCATTCCCACTTGGTGTCTCAGTCGTCACTGGATCTGCCCCCAACTTGCTTCTCTTACCGTCTTCCTAGCTCATTAATGGTGACATTGTCCCTCCACATGTGAGGCTGAGATCCTTGTTGTCTTGCTTTGAACATGTTCTTTTTCACTCCATATCCAGTTTTCCAGCATATCCTACTGGCTCTACCTGTAAGATAGACCCAATTTCTGCCATTGTTTTTTAGTTTAAATTTAAATTTTTTATTTATTTATTTTTTGAGTCAAATACTATCACAAAGATTAATCCATGATAATGGGGTCAATTCACCAGAAGACGTGTAAACATATATGCATCCAACTTCAGAGCACCTAAATACATCAATAAAACTGAAGGAAGAAATGGTAATTCAATGCTAGTTGTCAATGCTATTCAATGCTATTATCTGTTCCCATGCTCATTCGAGCCATATCGTCTCTCCTGGTGTTAGTTGCAGTAGCCTACCAAATGTTCTTTCTACTTTCAGGCCTTAAGTCTTTAAAAAACATCAGTTTCCTACTCCACAGTGAATGTGAGCCCATGAAATCTTGTTAGTTTGTGTTATTTCTGTGTCTAAAACATTTAGCCTTCTCTTCGACTGAGGGGAAAAGCTAAGTCCTTGCTATGGATGGCAACACTTCCCCCACCCACTCATCTCATCACTATCACTCCTTCAACCTCTTCTTCTGGTGTAAAGAGCTCACTCAGCTTTGCTCAAGTTAACCTTGCTGTGTTTCAAACACACCGACCTTTCTCTGCCTTGAGGGCTTTGCTCCTGCTCTTCTAAATAGCTCGTTGGGTTATGGGGTCATGTCCTCTTTTCCTTTGGGGCTTGGTTCAAATCTTACCTTCTTTTTTGTTGTTGCTTTTGTTTTATTTCAGATTAATATGAGGGTACAAACAATCAGGTTATAATGTTTGTATTTAGGTAAAGTCCCTGTTGTAGCTGTGTCCTTCACCCAGGAGGTGTGCCATATACTCTGATATTGTGCCCATTATGGACCTTCCCTTCTTGAGGACACCTTCCTGACAAGCTGTTGGAAATAGGTTCCTTTCCCCTATGTCCTCGTTGCGTTCTCTCTCTTCCTGGCTTTATTTGTCCCTGTAGGGTTTGTCACCACTTTTTAAAAAAGATTTCTATTTTATTTATTGTCTTCAGCTTCCCAGTAGAATGAAAGCTCCGTGAAGGCAGTTGTGTCTTCACTGTCTTGTCTACTACAAAATTTCTACTCTTAAGTTGAGCTCTTGACATGTTGTAGATCTTCCATAAATATTTATTGAATGCCAGGTTACATGGATTTATCTCAGAACAAACAGAAGTAGATAAGTAGGTTTACATCATACACGCGTTTTAGGAGGTTTCCTATACCAGTGTTCAGGTTGAGTGGGAAGAATGGGAAAGTAGATGTTTAGAGATTAGTTAAGAGATTGTACAAGAAGAGGAAAAGGTCTAAACTGAGTTGGTAACCATGGAGCCTGGTGAGGGGGTTGTTGGATGTGTGAGACACTCCTGCTAACTGGGGATATCAGGGGTAGAGGAGTAGAGGATATTGGAGAGAGGGTAGAGAATGATGTGGAGTTTTAACTCTACATTTCTTTGAGAGAATGTGGTAAAAAATGAGGGCAACATTAATGGAGATAGGAGAATTTAGGAAGAAAAAGGCTATTGAGAGGAAAAAAGGAAATTGACTTTGTTTTGAGTTTTTAAAGAAAATTTTGGCAAAATATACATAACAAAATTTACTATTTTACTGTTTTTATATGTATCTTTCAATGGCATTATATGGATTCACCTGGTTGTATAACCAATCGTGACCTTCCATCTATCTCTAGAACATTTTTATTTTTCCAGACTGAAACTCTGTACTAATTAAACAATAACTCCTTATTCCCCTCTCCCCCCAGCCCTTGGCAACCACCATTCTACTCTCTGTTGCTGTGAGTTTGCCTATTCTAGGTGCCTCGTATGAGTGGGATTGTACGGTATTTGCCATTATGTGTCTGCCTTATTTTACTTGGTGTAGTGTCCTCAAGTTTCATCCCTGCTGTAGCACATGTCAGAATCTCCGTCCTTTTTAAAGCTGAACATTCTGTTGTATGTACTGTATAAAGCACATTTGATTCTCTTTCCATCCATTGATGGACATTATGTTTTCACCTTTTGGCTATTGTAGATGCTGCTGCTACATCTTTGGTGTACAAATATCTGCTCAATCCTGCTTTAGCTTCCTTTCGGTGGATAACCAGAAGTGGAGTTGTTGGATCATATAGTATTTCCATGTTTAATATTCTGAGGAACTGCTATATTGACTTTGGCTTTGGATTAACTGTGTTTCAGGTGGAGAGCCTGTTAGAATGGGAGCATGGGGGAGAGCAATGGTAGCCAGACATTTCACTTCAAGGAACCTGACAGATGCGATAGTTGAAGAGAGGAGAGTGAATTCATTTGGAGAGGGAGAAGAAAAGAGTTGAAGCCAGGCTTGAATCAAAGGGGGGAGCAGGAGCTAGGGGAGCTAGTCAATGAGATAGAAAAAGAGCTAACAGAGTCAGGAATGGAACCCGAATGTTGATACCCACTTAGCTCAAACTCATCCATATTCATTGAGCACTCTTAGGAGAACTCCCTTTCAGATGAATCAGCTTCTATTTAAGTATGACATTACTCTCAAGGGTTCGGGTGTTGTAGGTCACAGATCACTACCGAGTGTTGAATTTCTGAAGCACAGATACTTTTCAAAAAGGTCCTAGAAACACTGAAAAAGCAGAGAATTTTTATATTCCGTATTGGGTTATTCTCCATTTCCTGCTTTGCATTGGTAATTTCACAGTCCCTTTTTCCCCTTCAACCTTTAATTGAAGTATGACTTCCATTAAAAGTGTACGAAATGTATATGGACAGCTTGATGAATTCTCTGATATTTTATGTACCTGAGTTACCAACCCCTAGATTAAGGAATAGAATGTTGTGCTCACCCCAGTGATTTCCTTCCTGCCCCCGCTTATTCAGTATCCCCATTATCCTCATTTCTAGCCCCATAGCTTAATCTTCCCTGTTAGGAACCTTGTGTAAACACAATCATGCATTATGTGCTGTTTGTGTCTGACTTACTGTTTGCGAAATTTCCATACTGTAGTGGGTTGTTGTAGTATATATTTCACTGGGTGCTTTCACACAATTTATTCATTCATTTTCATGTCAATAGGGAATTTTCAGTTTGGGACTATGATGTAGAGTAGTAATGCAATGAACATCATTGAAGTTTCTTACTAAAAAGGGAATTGTGCATGCTATGTTCACCCCTGTAAAGTTACTAGTTCTTACTTCATTTAAGTGCCTTTTCTACTAAGTGCCTTCCCACCCTACCTAATTATCTTCATTGTTAATACAAACTATATTTTCTTTCATATTAGTTTTGAAAGCATGAAGTGCCTCAAGGAATTGGGTTTCTTAAAAAAAATATTATCTACTTGCATTAAAATTTTCCTTTCAAAGCATGTATTTTTCTCAGCTATCCAGATTATGTGTCTTAAATGCACATTGAACCTGTCAAAATTCTTCATCTGTTAATGAGGTGAATTGTTCAAGCTTGAAACAAATATTTTAATTTTGGCACCATGATGAGTTGGAGAAAAAGAATAGCTCCCGTACACTTAATGCAGATTTGTTATCAAACTTTTTATAATTTACAGAGCAATAAAAGGAAATTGAGAATGAGCCAAAGTACACTGTAATATTTCGTGTAATTTTTCTTTTCAGCTGATAGCCTGGTATAAAAATTGACATTGCTAATTCAATATTGATGATACATTTTTATCAATAAGCTATTTCATAGTCGAGCTGAAATTTGCTGTGTTGAATAAAGATACGTGATATATTTTGTATGTTTGTATGGGTATCTATGTGTGGTATATGTATGGGTCTATATTTATAATTTGTCTGTTTGTCTATGTATTTAGCTATCTGTCCACATACTCACTGAAACCCTCTTTACAGAAAGAACGATAGAAGACCATGAACTGGTGATTGAGGTGCTATCCAACTGGGGGATGGAAGAAGAAAATAAGCTATACTTTAGAAAAAATTATGCCAAATATGAATTCTTTAAAAACCCAATGGTAAGTGAAATCCCTGTGAATAGTTTTGGAAAATAAATGAACCAGGTAAATTTTATGTGAAGAAGACAGTCACTATCAATAAAATCCAGCCCTGTTTGGTAAATTGTAGGTAAAGATTCTCATCCCTTGAAATTGAACTCACATTTCTTCTTCTTCTAACAATGATTAGTCAACATGCTACATTGAAGTTCAGGTACATGGTTGAAATAATTTTTTGGCCATTTTGGGAAACTCTGAACTGAGAAGAATTTTGCTTATTTCATTTAAAAGTACTAAGAAAGCTAGTTCTGGGGGAACCATTGCTTCCTTTTTCTGCCTTTTAGAAAAGCAAAATAATTATGTATTTGATTTAGGAAATGAATTTTTATAGCTTCTCAAGAAGATTTCAAAATGTTATAGTTTAATACTTTTCACAGAATTTAGGAAATTTAAATAAGGGATTTTCTAAAGTTAAAAACAGAGTGATGAATATTGGGAGTATGGGGACCCCGCCAGAAATTTAAGACTGACGTGAATCTTGCTGTTCTAAATTACTTGTTTTCAGTGTAGTAATTTCTAAGCCAAGTAGAAATGGGATAAAGACCAGTGAATCATCTAGTAAATACTACTTTCATTATGGTTCTCTTTAAAAGAAAATAAATGCATGTTACATTCTAATGAAGACTAGGGATGTAGAGGAGTCAGAACAGCCTCTGGGCTCATTATTGTGAATTGTTTTCGTCTCTGCAGCTGTAACATATTTTTACACTTAAGTTTTAGATAATTGGATTGAAATGATCCTTTATGAAAAATATATGATACACACTATTATAGAATATTTTCAAACCCTGAAAGACCTCTTACATTCGCTTTTATTTTAACCTATTAATAGAAACATAATGGGATGATCTTTGACAAAGAAAATAAGACTTCTAATAAAAATTAAATGGAATCAGAATGCGAAGGGAAAGTGTTATCTTGTTGTGAATCTTTATTAAAAGCAAGAATTTTAAAGTTATATTTAAGAAATACTATTTAGTGCTTGTTTTTGGTTTTTACTTATTTTTTATTTGAACAAGGCTGAAAATTCATTTGGTAGACTTGGAACTGTGCTTCTCAACTGGGGAGTTGAGGGGTGATTAGATGATGTCCAGAGACATTTTCGGTTGTCCTAGCCGGGGAGCTCAGAATCCTGCTAGTGAGTCGAGGCTGGAATGATGGTAAACACCCTACAAGGCACAGGACGTCCCTACTGCACAGAATCACTAGATCAAAACGTTAGTAGAACTGCTGTTGAAAACCCTGCCCTGGAGAAAATGGAGTAGAATGTATTTTCCCAAACGTGTCTGATCACACAGTTTATCTAGGGGAAAGTGGTTACAGACAACACAGGACCCACCCAGACCTACTGAATCAGGAACTCCAGAAATAAGACTTGGGGGAATTAGTATTGTAAACAACTGCCTGTGGTAAATTTGTTGATTACAAAGCTTGGGGAAACAGTAGCTGAGGCCAGGTGCGCTGGCTAACACCTGAAATCCTGGCACTTTAGAAAGCTGAGGTAAGGAATTCCAGCCTAGGCAACATAGTGAGACCCTGTTTCTACTTAAAAAATAATAATAAGCCAGGCCTGGTGGCATACACCTGTAGTCCTATCGTCCCAGCTCCTCATGAGCTGAGGTGGGAGGTTGGCGTGGGTCCGGGAGTTCGACGTTGCAGTGAGCCTTTGTACTGCAGACTAGGTCACAGAGCAAAACCCCATTTCGGAAAAAACACTAAAACAGTAGGTGGAAAGAACTGGACTTTTAGCTCTTCATCACAGTTTTTTATGTTGTGGGCTATGACCTTGGGCATTTCATAACCTCCTTACATCTGTGAGCCCCTCAGCTTTGTACAGTGAGGGCCCATAGCCCCCTAGTACCTAGCAGAGTGGTTGCAGGACGGGGAAGAGACGTGGGAGCAGGTACATTGCCTTCTCGAAGGCAGTATTTGATAACTTCAGATTGGGCATCTTACTGCTTCCCCATCATCTGGGAATGTTTGCTAATCTCCAGACCCAACTCCAGATGTTCTCATTAAGATACCTGTCAATAGAAGCCACAGACTAGCATTTTCAAAAGCCCTTTGGGTGAATTTTAGACACACTTGGTTAAAGAGCTTTTGGTTTAGATTACTATGTTGGGCATGACTGAACCTTTTCTTGCAGGGGTTTTAGAATGATTTAACTTGTATCTTCTTGTCAGTATTTTTTTCCAGAGCACATGGTATCTTTTGCAACTGAAACAAATGGTGAAATATCCCCCACACAGATTTTGCAGGTAAAGTATATTTTCATTAAAATATATAATAGAATAATAAAAGGAAATTTTGAGGTCCTTTTTTATATCTACCCAGATTTTGAAACATTATGCCTTCAGTGATTACTTTTGCAAGAGGTAAAACTAAAAAAAAAAAAAAAAGATTGGATGTAGAGTGTCCTAAATCAATACAGTTCTCTAATAATATTTTTTCTCTCAGTTTTGGCCTATTGTCAAAGGATTTTAAACACTTAAAATTGTGTATATTGAAAGAAACTTGTAGAGTTTTGTTCTGTGATGTGTGAAAAGATCAGTATTTTGAAAAAAAATCAAAATTCCCAATAAAATAATTCATTTTACCAATAGATACTCAATATTAACTTTCATAATACCCTCAATCATACTTGTAATCAAATAATTACCAATTAAATGAAAGGAGAAGAAAGATAGAATGTGTCTTTTTCATACAGTAATATTTGTCATAGAGTAGCTGTGATAGAAATCCTTGCATAGACTTATGAAATGTTCTTAGCTGAATTAAGAGTACTATTTACCTAATAAAAAATCTCCTTAGTTTTATGTCTACTGGGCTCATTTTTCTCAACAGTCAGTGGCTTGAAATGGTTATTTTCTAAGACATTGCCATTATAGTAAATGGACAGTTTTAGTTAAATTTTTTTTAATTTCTGAAAGTAATAGATTTTATATCAAAAACACTACAGTTTTTCATAGCTCAGTGTTCAGCAAGGCCTTTATAGAGGTTGCTGTTGGAGCTGAGCCCCAGGCATTCCAAGTCCTGTCTGTATTCTCTGATCTTTAATGAAGACAACTTAGAGTGTTTCCAGTACAGCTATGACTTTGTATAGATTATGTAGGTATATCAATCATAGATTAAGTTTTGGAGGGCTTTTTAATAGGTTGTATTACATGTCTGTGCTTCATAATATTTTGGGAAAATGATTAGTCCCAAGAGTTTTTTTTTTTTAAAGCTGCTTCTGTGCTGCTGGGTTTCACAGAGACACCCGTCAGAAAATTCGGGTAAATGGCAGCGGCAGCTGTGCCCCCGGACCCCCAGCTCTCAGCCCTCTCACTGCTGCGCCACCATGCTACTACATAGCGGTGGGATGGAGGTTTTCTCCCACCTCCTTTCCCGAGTCCTCCTGTAACATAGTTATATTGCTTTAATGTTAAATTATAAAAATAAGAAAAATCATAGGCTTTGGAATCAGATAGTCCTGTGTGTGCTGCTGACCTCTTCTCTCCACTGAGGCAATGTTTCCACTTTTTAAAAGGTTTCTTCTTTTTCTAGTGTGACCTCCATGACTCCCTTTTTAAAATTTAATTGGTTTGGTTTAATAACTTGGAAAGCACTCAAACTAAAAAACCTACTTGCCTGTTTTGCATGTCAATTAATTATTATCTGTGGCTCATTAAATTAAGAATTTTTTCGTAATTTATTTAAAAACATAAATATCTACTCTCAGCCTTAGTAGCCTTTTAAAATGTTACATTGTTTTAATGAATAATTTCTCTTACTTTCGGTTTTTCCATTTGTTTGTTCATAGAGATTTCTGTTTTCTTCTTTTAATGAGACACTAATGCTTTTCCACTGTCTTATTAAGGATGCAGAGCACAGCCACCCTGATAGCATCCCTTTCATTTTCATTTTCTTGACCAACACATGCCCACTGTCTTAGTTAATTATTATTGTGTAACAAACTATTCCATATTTTCATGGCTTAAAGTGGCCACTCACATTTTCCCAGCAGTTCTGCTGGGCAGGAATTTGGGAAGAGTTTAGCTGCGTGGGGCATCTCTGAGGCACACTGGCTCATTGGGTGGGCACACAGGATCCTCTTCTGAGACGTGTTTTTCCCTGTTCCCTGTGCCTTGATACTGATGTTGCCTCTTTCTCTGTCTCTCCACATTGTGTGTCATCCTCCAGGGCTTTTTCAGGTGCATTGAGCTCCTTACCCATTGTGGTTTCAGGGTAGCCACGTTTCTTGACAACTGGTTTTCAAGAGTCAAGTGGTAGGGCTGGGCTCAGTGGCTCACACCTGTAATCCTAGCATTCTGGGAGGCCAAGGGAGGTGGATTGCCTGACCTCAGGAGTTGGAGACCAGCCTGAGCAAGAGCCAGATGCTATCTCTAAAAATAGCCAGGTGCAGAGGCGGGAGCCTGTAGTCCCACCTACTTGGGAGGCTGAGGCAGTGTGGAATCACTAGATTCTAAGAGTTTGAGGTTGCTTTGAGTTATGATGCCACAGCACTCTACTGAGAGTGACAAAGTGAGATTCTGTCTCAAAAATAAATTCAATAAATAAAAGAGTAAAGTGGCAGAAGGCACCAGGCTAGTTAAGGACTACACCTAGAACTGGCCGAGTGTCACTTTCACATGTTGTATTGGTTAAGACGGTGAGAGGCTTGCCTAGATTCAGAAAGGTGGAGAAACAGATTCTACCTCTTTACAGTTCAGGGGCAAGATAACATTGCAGCAAAGCATGTGGGATGGAAGCTGCTGGAAAACATGACCTACCATACCCACCCACAACTGAGAACCACAGATGATGACAAAGAAGGGATTGTTTGCTTTACGCACACCAAGGTGAACTTGGCTCAGCTTCCAACTTCACAACTGAAGTCGGGATTTCAGTCCTACTTAACCTGGATACCATAAGGAAGTTGATGTTAAACCTGTAATCTCAGGGAACCGTGGAAAAGGATGGAAATATGTTAGGACTTAACTCTATAGATGATGCCCAGTTTTTAGAATAGACAGTCAAATGGCTTATAATTTTGGCATTTGGTTAAGTATTGGTCACTTAGACTATATATTTTGTGAACATATTTTTATGTTTAACCTATCACAGATTATTTAAAGACTGATTTATTTTCCGTTGTACATATATTATAATTTCTGTAATGGTACATAAGTGGTGTTGATGCTGTTTGATTTTACACGTGTATGTTTGAAATCTTAATATAATTAGCATAAAGCTTCAATATCATTGATTCAATAATGGTGTGAGAGTATCTAATTCTTCTAGATGTTTCTGAGCTCAAGCACATATCCTGAAATTCATGGCTTCTTACACGCAAAAGAACAGGGAAAGAAGTCTTGGAAAAAAATTTACTTCCTTCTAAGAAGATCTGGATTATATTTTTCTACTAAAGGGACATCAAAGGTAAATTGAAGCGTCAGTGATAATGTATGATACATTAGCTGCAAGTTAAAACGTGCTTTACGGGGGTGTAGTTATGACTTCCTTACATGCTGTCGAGTGCTGGTCTTCTTTCGGATACTAAACATACGCCGTAATCTGTTGAAACACTAACTATTCAGCCTTATTGCACACTAGTTTGAACATACATACTTGATGGACTCTGCATGCTCTTGTCTCTGTACCACACATATTACTTACTTTTCCCTACCAGGAATTTACTCTTCTTTCTTCATCTCAGGCTGCAGATTTTGAGGCCTGGTGTCATTTCTACCTTTTCGTTTTACCTCAGGTCATAAGACTGATCTTGCCTACTTTTGAGCTTCTGTTGATCAACATCAACAGAATAGTTAGCAGCACTCAGCTGAGTCCATTATTGCTCTTCATGAATTTTGTGTGTTTATTTCGTCTCTTTCTTTAGATTATAAATTCCTAGAGGAAGTTATGACGTTTTGATCAGGAATGAATGGATGTGTTCATCTGTGTGCACATATATATGTGTATATACATGTGTGTATATACACACACACCTGTGCACACGGTTACCTAGTTCTACATACACACATGTCCATATGCACATCCATATAGTTTAGAATATACTGTGTATTCCAGGCTGCAGCACTACGCAGGCTTTGTTTCTCTGTGTCTAGTCTATTCATTAGGCCATAGTTTGCAGTTTAAACGTGTTATCATGTTATGCAATGCATTGATACCTCTCAAATAAAAATACTTTTGTGAGTTTTTAGGAGGTTACTGTTATTCTATTTTGAGCGTCTATTGTCAATGATAATGCTGTTGCTTCTTTATGGGTAACTGTCATTTCTCTCTAGTTATTTTTCAAATCTTCTTATCATCATTAGTGTGCAGCAATTTCCCTGCCATATTTCTGGGTGTGTTGAAATACAGTCTGTTTGCTTTTGCGTGAATGTCAGCACACACATTCCGTCTGTAAACTCATATTTTTCTTTTATACTACAAATGTTCACCCATTATTGATTTGTTTCTTTCCCATTTTCATTATTTCATCTTTTAAGTTTTCAGTAGGATTCCTCTTCTGAGTAGTCATGGCTACAGGTGTCCCTTGGTTTGACTAACTTGAACCTTTGCCTTTGTCTTCACGTAGTCTTTCTTCTTTCTCTCTGTGTGTCTCTTAGAAGGACACTCTTCATTGGGTTAAAGGCTCACCTGGATAATCTGGGATAATATCATCTTGAGATCCTAAATTATATCTGCAGTGACCCTTTTTCTGAATAAGGTTATATTCAAGGTGCCCAGGGTAGTGCTTGTACATATCTTTGGGGCAGATTCCATTCAGCCTACAACATTGACAAATTTTGAACAAGGGAGTGAAATGATCCAAAGAGTGTCTTAAGATTAGCGTGGCCACAGGGAGCTTAAAATACCAAAGAGAGAAAGAAAAAGAGATTGAGGGGAAGAGAGCAAGGGAGGCAGAGAGAAAATGTGGGGGAAAGAGAGGGAAGAAAGAGGGAGAGACAAAGGGAGAGGAAGAGAAAGAAAGTGAGGAAGGGAAGGAGGGAGAGACCTTGATTAGTGGCACAAGCGCTTATTAGATGATCATTTTGGTAATCCCAGTAGAGTGATGGGTCAACCTACAATGAACAGTAGAGGAGAGAAGAGAGGAATGGCTGCAAGATTAAATGGCAGAGGGCCAGGTTTTGGTGACTCATTCATATGAGAAAAGACAGAACAATTAAAAATGTTCTTAGAGAAAGGTAATAGAAAATACATAGAAAATGATTATTTAAAACCCCCCAAATTAGAGGTTTGCTGGAAGGTTATTTTCTTAGAAGCCAAATAATGATCTCAGTTCTAGATATGTTGTATTCAGGATCAAGCAGTCAGATGGAAATGCCCAGAATGCAGCTGATGATGGAGACCAGATACTGGGTGATCCTAACAGGAGACTGGGAATTGCCAAGAAATGATACTTGACCCTTCCCTATCTTCCCCCCAAATGTTTGTGTGTAACGTCCTCTTTTCTCTCATATACAGTTTTTCTTTGTTGCTTATATGTGTGTATTTTCAGGCAGTATAATGCTTCATGGAATGGAGCTCCACTAACTTAGTGAGGCATCCCCTTACAGAAATCTTTTATTTTTAAGTATTTATTATTTGGCTACTAGTATTGTCATGCCCATGGATTTGACTCCTCTTTCTTCAGTATGTAAGCTAGTTTTCACGTTTTTGTCATCAATAATGTTACAATGACTATGAACCCATTTGTACTATTAAGGTTTGAGACTCCTTCTGAACCACTTTAATGACGTTACTCTTCTGCTAGAGCTCCTCATGTAGGAAGTAACATATGAAGTGTTTTTTAAACAAATGTGTGCTCAAACATCTTTTAACTTTCAATGTTAGAGAAAAATGGCTTCTAAATCTAGTAAATCATGTTTATCTCGTTCCAGTGATTCTTCACTGGAAGTTATGTTACTGTGTTCTTCACTCCTAAATTCTTTTTTCAACACTGTCTTACTAAAATCCACTGCCCGTTATGTTATATTTTTTACTTCATCCTTCATTTCCTTTCTCTCACACCCATTACCCAACAAAACAGCCATTTTCCTTCTATCTATGCGCTCATCCTTGCCATGGTCTTTGCTTTGGCTTGGCAAAATCGTAAGCATCAGACCTGTATTCTAGGCCATATGGTAGTTCTCTTAAACATGGTGTGTGACTTTGCTATTCATGAACACATAATGTTCCTCTTCTCTAGCCTGTGCCTGATGAGTTCACGATCCACAGTCTATACACAAAGATGATTTTAAGTTCCCCCCTGAGAAAAAATTGAGATACCCTTAATGATTATGACCTTGATACAAATTGTATAGATTATCTGATGTCTAATACGGCATTTCTACCTGACAAGGACATCATTTCCTGCCCTTTTCTCCGAGGAAGTCTAGAATGGTTTTACTTTCTAAAGATGGAAAGACATAAAGGCTGCATGGGAGTTAGCTAACCACTGCTGCATGCCTCGGAGATGTGGTCAGGGACTGTATTTACCGGGAAACCTCTACGGACCCTCCTCTCCGTCTCCCTTTTTTATACACATGCACACGCTTAGATTCTGCTAATCGTGCCTTTTATTCAGCCTTGTATTCTTACAGTGCCCATAAGCCTTGCTACATCTTAGGAACAAAAATCAAATCTCCATCAGGAGGAAAAGGTCTTCATGCTTTTTACTTCCTTCTCGTGTTGTTTCCCAAGCTGCCTGGCACTCACCCTGGAATGACTTAGCTACATTGCCTTCTACAGCATCAGCGGACAGGGAGGCTTTTATTCCGTCTTCATAGAAATCAGACATATTGACTAGTAACTTAGTTTCTATCAAGAAATATGGTTTTAAAAGCTATGGCAATAAGGGTACCTTTCTCCGTTCTTCTCCCTTGTCCAAGGTTGCGTCTCTTAAAACTATTTTCTTTTCTGCTTTATCCTCCAGTGGAGTTAGGAACTACAGTTACTCGGCAGATTCTAAGATTTAAGGATAGTGAGATATAGGGAAACTCTTACTTTACCTGTCATCAGAGACGGAACAGCTTACCAGCAAATGACAATGGAATGATTTTGGATTTGAATGGGGTTGTTCATTTTGCCAAAAGTTCTGTGGGGTCTTTTGGGGGTTTTCATGTGGCTTTTTTAAAGATCACGGTTTCTCAGATGTTTGCATCCAGATCACCTGGGATCTTGTTAAAGAGCAGATACGGATTCTGTGGGTCTGTGACGGGCCCTGCGACTCTGCACTTCTAACAAGCTCCCGGATGGTGCAGATGCTGCTGGTCTGAGACCGCAGTACTAGGAAGCGGTGAGGTTGTAGGGAGTAAACGCATTTTGGTCAGTTTTGATTAGACATTCAACCTCAGAATTAAGCACTTCTTCAAGTTATTAACCTAACACAGAATAAAACGACCCAGCGATTTCCCGTGACCAGCTCTAAATCTCTTGGATTTCCCAGAGAAGAAATAGCTGTTCATGGTTCCACTTGGCCTTGAAAATCAGAACCATTCCACTGCCAGCTAATTTCCCTGGGACTATCTGGACAGGCTTCCTTCTGTCTGTAAAGCGAGAGTCCTGCAGCCTGTCTGCTGCTTCCTGCGGTGTGTCCGCAGTGCAGGAATGGGAGGGATGAGCCTGCGTCTGAAGGAAGTGGAAATCATCGCCCCTTTCTCCTTTTTTCTGCTCTACCTGCTACAGCTCAAATTAACCTTCCTCCCTTTGTCAAACTATCATTATTTGAAACGTGGATGAAGAAAACATTTCCGAAAGCCTTTCTGTGCTACCTTTTCTCTCTCGCAGAGTCCTGGAAATGCTGATTAAAAAACTAGGAAGTTTAAAATAGGAGTTTATACATTTATATTATTGGAAGTTAAATTATAAACAAACTGACACTTCCCAAATGAGTTAAGATTACGTCCAGGTGCTGGTTATCTAAGGCTATGGTGACTTAGTCTTTCTTTCCTTCAGATTCGTAATATCACGCCGAAATTCTCCTTGGAATAATTTTTTTGCCCAAAGCATAAATTATGTAATAGAACGGAAATATAAAAAGAGCACAAACACATCTACCCATTTGAACAGTCAACAACATACATATTTTTTTTTCAGGAACCCCGACATTTGCAGTTCTTCAGCGAATTTGGCAATAGTGATATTTATGTGTCTCTGGCAGGCAAAAAAAAACATGGAGCGCCGACTAACTATGGATTCTGCTTTAAGGTACAGGCTTAATATTTTGATAGATGAATAAAGCAAGCCTCAGTCTTTTAGGTAAGCTTGAGTTTCTTCTAATTTCTCTGAAAAAGAAACAGCTTTCTCTTATACATCTATAGGAGAATTTTAGTGACTTTTATTTCAACAGGTGTTACCTTCAAGATATGCATTAACGATAAACAATGTGCTGTGGCCTTCTAGCCTAACAGAGCGGGGAGGTCCCGAGACCTGAAAGTGCTCTGTGCAGAAGAAGAGCAGAGTAGGACGTGCTGGGTGACTGCGATTAGATTGCTTAAGGTAATCTCGCCAGAGGCATGAATTTCTATTAAATGCTGTGAGTACCATAAAAGTTTGAAAATATCTACCTTTCAAACTGTGAAGACTCCCTATGAATCTCTGGCTATATGAGAACGAAGAAAAATAAGCACCACCAAACGTGTGTGTTGTTTTTAAAATCTCAGAGATAAACATTTGCAGAGTGGAACAACCTGATCAATTTTATCTTCAGTGCATAAAGGAAGTATTCCATTTCTAGAAACGATCTGATTTTTTTTGGTAAGAGTGTTATATACATAGCCAGGACACTTGAATGAAGTGTCTGCTATACATGACTTTGTCTGCCTTTTTAAAATGTTGCCAGCAAGCTAGCGAAACGTGTGTTTTAAAATGTGTCCAGCTAGATACCTGTTTTATGTTCCATTTAAGTGTTTTATAAATTGCTTTCTAGTTTTATAAACATGACTTAAATTACTCTACGCAGTTTACTATAAATACATATTTAAAACACTACTCTTTGTTAAGTAGAAATTGTAACTGCCGTAAGCATGATTGGGTGGTGAGCGTTTTGAAATAAGTAAGGATATTCTAAAGGTAGATGCATGTAGGAAAGAGATAAGCAGAACTGATTTATTCCAGAATCTATAAAAAAACCCACATATTTATTTCAAACCCTGTATGCCAATAAATTTAACACAACTCTAAATTTATAATTATAACAATTATCAACCCTTCCTTTTTGGGCCGCCATCTTGCTCCCTCCTCAACCATTCCTTTTTGAAGATACTGCTTTGGTAATCACTATGAGTGAAAGAAATTGCACATTTTGTCCTTGTTGTTGAACAGATACAATGCAAGGAACGTGCCTGTTCACTTCAGTCAGGATCATTGCTGCAGAAGTCAACCAAGTACATAATTTATCATTGCTGCTAAAGTTTCGGTTTAAAATGGAAACTTCAATATTTTCCAAACTACTCTTTATAATTCATGCCTGGGCGCTAACATAATTTGCCAATATACAAATTTTGTGTACTATATAATGGTGCATGTATTACCATAGGCAGATTCAGGTTATTAACAATATATGTACTAAAACTATCTTTATGATATATTTAGAAATGAAAATCAGAACAACTGGGGCCTTGTGAAGTCTTTGGGTTCTCTGGTTTCATTTAGCCTGAAGAAAGGAATGCAGTAACCTTTTTAATTGATTTGCAGCTTGTGTATTTTTCAGGTCGACTATTTTTCCTTTGGCGTTGACATTTTTACCTCTTCTGTAATCTGTTAACCTTTTACTAGCATCTGGGTTAAACGAAAGCTCAGGGTAGAGAAGGGCAGAATAATCATAACCAGAATAGTCCTACTAAACTTAGAAGAAAGTTTTATTTTGTATTTTTAAATTTTTTTAAGTTGAGGTCAAATTCACAAAAATTAACCAAACTTTTTTTTTTTTTTGAGACAGAGTCTCACTATGTCTTCCTCAGTAGAGTGCTGTGGCGTCACAGCTCACACCTCAACTCTTGGGCTTAAGTGATTCTCTTGCCTGAGCCTCCCAAGTAGCTGGGACTATAGGCACCTGCCACAATGCCCAGCTATTTTCTTGGTTGCAGTTGTTTAGCTGGCCGAGGCTAGGTTTGAACCTGCCACCTTTGGTGTATATGGCTGGTGCCATAACCACTGTGCTACAGGCACCAAGACTAACCAAAGTATTTTTGATGTGAACAATTTAGTAGTATTTAGTGAATTCAAAATATTATACACCCACCCCCTCCATCTGGTTACAAAATATTTTCATTACTTCAAAAGGAAGTTCTGTACCCATTAAACTCTTAGGCTCAGGTAACACCATCTGCATTCTCTCTCTGAATTTACCTATTCTTAATATTTCATATAAATGGAGTTAGACAATATGCGGATGTGACCTTTTGTACCTGACTTTTCCTTAGCGTTGTTTCCTGGTCCACTTATATGTATAGTAGCTTACATCAGCCTTTCCTTCTTCTGTATGGCTATATGATATTCCATGGTACATATGTTCGTGTTGGATAAATGATTTGTTTATCCATTTGCCCATTGAGGGAGATTTACACTGGGCCCACCTAGATAATCCAGGAGCCTCAGAGTCAGCTGATTAGCTACCTTATTCCCTTTTGCCTTGTAGCCTCCCGTACTCACTGTTTCCAGATTACGAAGTGAACATCTTTGGGGGACCATTATCCCACCCGCTGCTACCATGTTGTGTTCCTTGTTCATTTCAACAATAGCAGACTTTTCAGATGAGACCAGAGAGGGAGAGAGGTGTCAATGAGTGCCTTTATCCTGGAGGCAGTGGGAAAACCCAAAATGCTCTGATCCGTTTTATACTTTTCAGTATCCAGATCACGGGAAGCCAGTGCTTGGCCAGGTCTCATGGTACAGGTACATTTGTGACATTCTAGTTAGAGGGGCCTGTAGACTTCCCCTGGCAGCGTGTTGTCAGTGGGCACCTTGATTCTCCTGTCTGCCGCAGCCGGTCTCCTTGGCATTAGAAGTTTCTCTGACACCTCTGTCTGTCTCCCTCAGTTGCCTTCTGTCTTGTTCGCAGAGTTTATCATTGTACTTGGTAGAGACGACCAGGGAGATGTCAACGCTGACTGGCCCGGAGGTGCTTTCTTACTCTCATGGCAGGTTACTGACGAGATACCAGCCTCCCACCAAGAATCTGGCCACTTGTTTTATTCTTATTTCCTGTTCCTTTTCATAGACATATATAAACTCTTTATATATGAACAGATAATATGGGTTCACCCATTGATTTCTCAGTCTTTGGAGAAATTCTAGTTACATATGGAATTACAGAAAATAAGAGCTTTCGAAAATGGGAGATTTGCTCAGTGTTCCAGTTACATGCTGTCTCTCTCCCTTCCCTTCAACTATACCTCTGCTTGGTCTTCTGTAATATTTTTTGGTGCCTTATCCACCCTTCCAGAGGGCAGGGAAATGTTGAGATGACCCTACCCTTGACCAGAGTTAAATGCCTACTGAAGATCTCTCATAGCACAGAGGCAACTATTTAAACACTGCAGTACCACAGACAATACATCTTTGAAGAAAACAGGAGGTAGCAGGCTTTTCATGCAGATAAATAAAAGTCGGCCAAGCAGCATGTTCCTTGTGAAAGTGTTGGTTTGAGGTTATTTTATATTTTCCAAAATGAACTTGACGAGGAATTGAGCTCCTCTGCCTTCTTTTTAGAGTAGGCTTAGAGTTGATTTTAAATAGATTTCATTAAGTACCATTAATGTCCATCATGCCTTAAATTACAAAAATAAGGTTTAGAAGTTGGGAAATAATTGGATAAAGAAGTCAACACAGAGAATTTTAAATGACTGTGGGTTTGTATTCATGTTAAATGCAAAATCTTGAAAACAGTGACTCATAGACGCCCTCTGATTTTTTGCCTAATTACCGTTACATCCATTTTGCTGGAATTGCTTTTAAGGAAATCATATTTAGTAGAGGCACAGCTCTTTTGGAAGGTTTCAGTGGAATTTATCCTACAGGTAAGATCTGATTCCATGGTATCTAGTTCATCTCTTTTATGTAGGACCTCACATTTTTTTTAAGGACCTAACTTTTAAGTTCATTATAGTTCTACAAAATGGAGAGAATTATAGAGTATAGCTAAAAAGGAAAAGGAAAGGTGTTTATCCCGTTGCTTTCTCTTTCTTTCTCTCTTTTCTGTCCTTTCTTTTTTTCTTCCACAATCCGGCTTAGACCAAAGGTGGCAGCTTCAGAGGGGGACGCGTCTTAGACAAGTTTGATCATGGCATTCTTCGTGTTTCTCAAACTAATAGTCTAATTATACTCCAGACCTGGTTTTCACTTATGGCCTGCCACCTCCATCTGTGTGGTTTTTGTCTCCTGAAAGTGAGGACGCTGCAGTTCTTAGCTCTTACCATTTACATTGTATTTTAAAACCCTTTATTTGAAATCGCCTCGATTCACTATGACTTCGGTTTCCCTGAATTTGAAGCAAAATTTAAACATAAGAGTATTGATACAAGTATAATACAGTGTCAAGAATCTTTAATACAAGGTCATGTTTATGGCTTTACCAAAGAGATAAGGTAATTCATCAGTCGGTTATTAGAGAGTTATAGAAAATTTTATAGTGTTGCTTAGGATGTATGTAAGGTTTTCAGAATCTCTGTACCAGAAAGCACAGGCACCCTTCTCAGGGAGCTTTCTTATCATGAGGCAGGG